AGTCTTCATTGATCAGGATGCTGTCTGTTGGCCCAGTTATGAGGTCTTGGTTTCCTTTTTTTTTCATACTTCCTCCCCTCCCCCTTTCTTGGTTTTCTTTATGTTGGGTTGTCATCCACACCAGAAGCGGCAATCCTTGAACTTCATCTGCAAGTGCGTCAAGTCCTCACCTTCAGCAAACAGCTGTGGTACTCTGCATATACGGAGCAGGTTGTTAATAAATCTTCCTCCAGTCCTGATGCCAAGTTCTTTTTCATCTAGTCCAGCTTCTCGTATTACTTTCTCAGCATACCGCTGTTGTAGAAGTCTAATGAAAGGTACCACCCCGACACACACTTTTCCTGGGTTTAAACCAGGCAGTCGTGTTTCCTTGTTCTGTTTGCACAACCAAGAGGTCCATGGACAGGTTCTGTGCGATCACAGGGAATGTTCTGGAACCCTCAATCTCAATGCAATCCATTGTTTATGATGACCCACACAGTCAATAAAACCCATGTAAATATCTTTCTGGTATTCTCTGCTTTCATTCAGTACCCGTTTGACATAAGCATTGATAGCCCCTGCTTTTCTTGCTCGTCTGAATCCAGCTTGCAGTTCTGACAGGTCCCTGTCAGTGTACTGCTACAGCCATTGTTAATTGATTTACAACAACATTTGATTTGCGCGTGAGATGAATGATACGGTTTTATAATTTCCACGCTCTGTGGAAATCCCCCTTGCTGTGGAATGGGCACAAATAAGGATCTCTTCCAGTTGGTTCACCAGGGTGCTGCCTTCCAGATTTCCTGGCTTAGACAAGTGAGTGATCCTAGCTCTTCAACTTGTGGAAACATTTCCATTGGTGTTCCTTCAGTCCCATTTAGTCCTTGGTCATGTGCCGTCCTTCGACATGGCTGGTGCAGTGGCTGTTGAACTGCGCACTGTTGAGGTCGGCTGTAGTTCGGTTTATATTTGCGCCTACCTCCTAGAAAGAAGATTCACTGTGGGAGTCTCTGTTTCAGATGTTACGGATTTTCAAAATGGGATTCTTCATTCAGGGTAGTAGAAAGTGAAAGGCTTTGGTTTTTTTATAACTATTTGTTGCTAAAGAAGTCCTTTTTGTGTGTTTCTGGGGTAGTAGAGGACATGGGGCATGTGCATGATGGCTCCATGCGGTGGCACTGAAGAATGATATCATGCTCGCTGCCACATGCCTAGGGCTGGAGCTGTGGATTACTTTCTTCCTGTGGTGATTGGGGCTTTCCAGCACCCAGAGCCTTTTCCTACAGCATCTGTGCAGTGCCGGGGATAAGCATGAAGGCCTTTAGGGTCCATGTTCCATCGGGGGAAACATCGTCACATGACCCTCCTCCCTCCCAGCCAGAGTTTAGAACCGTGGTCTAGCTGAGTGGCCAAAGAGGTGGGGTGGGTGTGGGTTGGAAGGACAGCTAGCTGTGTGCTGCTTAGCACCACCCAGAGCCGCCCAGACTGTCCCCAGCCAGTGTTGGCTGCCTGTCTGGCAGGGAGGAGGGTGGAAAGGGACCCAGCAGTGGGGACAGCAAGCATTGGTTTTTGAAAAAATTTAGTCATTTTATTGGGGGCTCTTATAACTCTTGTTACAATCCATACATCAATTGTATCTGACATTCGTACATATATTCATCGTTCTTTTCTAGACATTTATTTTCCTTTGAGCCCTTGG